GTTAAATATTTAGTTTATAAACTATGACATTTATAAATGTATGAATCATATGGTGAAAAACTGACTTTGAAAAATAAATCTGTTGTTTTTTCTTATAAAAGTCTAAATAAAACAAAAATATTGGTGGTAATTTTTGACTGTGTAACTTTACAAACGACACTACATACTTGTCAGCGATCACATTAGCTTTTTTGTATTTGCTTTATCTGATGCTGTTTGACAATGAAGAAAGAAAAAGAAAAATAATCGATGTAGTTGATGTGTTCCACAGTTTGGAGTTTTATACTTTAGAGCAGAGAAGTGTTTTTAGTTAAAGCTTCAGTAAAAGTCACAAGAATTAAATTTTTTGTTGTTGTTGTTCCAGTTCACATTAAGCACTTTGTATGTTTCTGTTGCTGATGCGTTTATTTTCTTTGCCCCCCCTGTACAGGGTATGATCCATGAGTGAAAATCCATTTAATTTCAGGTAGTTTTCAGTCCTGATTTTGAGCCAAATCACGATGAACAATGTTGCTCCTACAACTTTATTTTGGTTGAGTGTCGAACATTTTTAAAGCTTTTTGTCATAAAAACCAATCTTGACTCTTTGCTAAATGATTCTCTGCTCTGCTGGTTTGTTTCCTTCAAACTGGCCTCGCTGCCTGCAGCTGCACAACTTCACCTGTGTTAAACTGGTTTCTGAATTCATTCACACAMATTGTGTAACAGTTCACACGAAGAGCTCAACCAGAAGCAGTGTTGTGTACTCGTACAGCCAACGTGCACCAGCCTGGTGCTGTTTACCAAGGACATGTACAGCAGCAGCAGCAACCTTTGTGAGTCCTCCTAACAGAGGTAGTGTGTAAATGACTTTTAGCTGGCTCTGTGTGTGTCTGTCCCTGACTGTGGTCAGCGCTGTGACCTCATCTCTGAGTGATGTGCTGCCCACAGTGTGAACAACGACAACCAATAAACACTCTGCCATTTTCTTTTTTAACTCCACACTTCAGACTTTGTGTGTTCTTGTCTTGAAGGTTTTGTGTATTTATTTAGTTGTGGTCATACTGTACGTGCCACACAGATTCATCTGGTTTCTTTATAAGACACTTTTCAAATGCAGGTGGAACTCAGTGCTTCAACAAACAAATACAATAAAATATGCATGACTATAAAAATAGAAAAATAAGCATTAGAACATGCAAGCTACACAGCAACACACACAGTGTTAATTT